TTAACGTAGCCCAGTTCAAAAACATATAAATAACTAACCGTCCAATAAGATTAATTCAATGCATACAAAAATCAAAAAGTAGATATTAATATTACAAATTTAGTGGCCATGAAACTAGAGGAAGTACCAAAAGATGGAGAGTGGAGACTGGAGAGACTGGCGTTCGAAAAGGCGTCGACTCGATGTGAAGAATTTGTTGGAGTTGAGAGGGAAGGAGACGGAGCCCATCCTGCTGATTCGTTTAGTGCGTAAAAAATAGGGAAATTAGGCCCACTACTCTAAAAAAGAAACAAATTAGATTAATACACTTAACATAAATTTAAACCTCTAATCGCCGTAATTTATACGTCCAAAAACCCACTCCATTCAATTACATACATACATAGACACAATGATTTCGCTCACGATTTTTTCAAATTTTTCATCAACGTCATCCCGTTTTTCTCCAAATTTCGGTGCGCTTCGAATATTAATTATATTCCAACATAATTCATCCACAAATTCACACTGCCATCCATAAAAATTTCAAGAAATGAAATGGTGAGTAAATGAATTTCCACTTTCAGTTTCACTTTCGATTCAAATTTAGGGTCGGAATATGGGGATTCCTTGGTCGACCCGAATTCGTTCCTCTGTGTTGGCGGTGGAGGAGAAGAAGACAATGATGAAAGATGACCTTCATCTCGGATCTGTTGGAGGCCCGCATCCCCAGTGATCAGATATTGGAATCTGATATGGCTGTCAGTGGGTCGATTCGGTTCGATTCTGAAGAGAACCGAACCGACTCAAAACTTTCGGGTATTTAATAAATGGAATCGTCGGTGTGAATTTCATCTCTGATATGTTCGAGGCCCACATCCCCAATGATCATATATCAGAATCTGATATGGCTGTCCGTGGATCGGTTCGATTCGTTTCTCTTCACCAAAAACTTTCGGGTATTTAATAAATGGAACCATCAGATGTAAATATAATTATGGAACCGTTCGGGTTTGGTTGCATTCGGTTCAGTTCGGTTCCTCACATAATTAACTTTTTAAATATTTACAGCAACACTATATAAATACAACTAATAAAATATCATTCGTAACTTTTACAAATT